TGGAAAGAGCTGTTGCTTTGGAGACAGAAAATGTGAATTCATATTCTACCTCTGATACTTATTACTTTTGTAACCTTAGATCCTCCCTAGGCTTCAGTTTCTTTATTTATGAAATGAAAGAGTTGGAATAGGTAGCCTCTGAATTCCTTTCCAACTCTAGGTTTATGATTTTATGAGTCTGTGAAGGTAGTGGTTTTCCCCAGTTGGAGGTCTTTGGTCAAAAGCTGAATGACATGTGATTTCAGAATTGCCATGGCCAAATAATTCATCACCCAGTAGTCAAGTATGGAACCAACCTAGACTGGTCCTTGGATGACATGTAGAGTCAATCACTAGGTCCCCAGGACCTTGCTTGCTTTTTTTTTTTTTAAAGAACTTTTCAGAGCTTGGGTCTGTTCAATTTGTTTTGAAAACCCAGGGTTACTATCATGCTATGATTAGGTATTCACTTTAGTGAACTTTAGTTTTTTTTTCTATGCAGGCAGAAAATTAGGGTGAGTTACTGAAATATGATTCTGGTAATTTCAGTGCTGCTAATTGGGTTGAAAAAAAACCCCTGAATTTATTGGAATGCTCAGGAATTGAGGTGTTTTGAATTTTTAACTGAGCTTTTTTGTTTTAATTTAAAACAAAAGTAATATATGTTAATATACTTTTTTATCTTGGTAAAATAAATGCTACAGATAGGACCTGGACTTGTGATTTCATTGTCCCCTAGGTAAGGAAAATTATCTCTCAGTGTAGATCAGTACTTTCTCTGTAACTTGCACTGTTAAAGAGTTGTCCGGAGCACTGACAGGTTTAGTAACTTGCCCAGAATTGTACAGCTAGTATGTATTGAAGATGAGACTTAAACCCTGGCTTCAGGGGCAGATCTTTATCCACCAGATCTCTTATTCTTATAGTGAATACTAACCATAATTTAATCTTTGGTCGATACTCAGAATCTTTCAGTAGTTTATCATTATAATGGTGTAAGAGATTGCATTGATCTATACTGACACTAGAATATATCCAGGAAATTCTTTTAAAAGAAAGAAACCCTCTGGTTTGAGCTGATTTCCTTGCATCTTATCTGTTTTTCTTAAAAGTAAAGTTTGCTAAAGAAAGTAACAATAACAAAAGCTACCATGTAATTGAAGCTTATTTGTTCTAATTAATGGGATCTGAGTTGAAGTTTTATTGTACTATTTGCAAGGATCTTTTTAGACCAAAGATTCTTGAACTTTTTAAAAATTTCATTAGTCCCTATGACAGTTTGGTAAAGCCTGTAGAACTATCCTCAAAATAATATTTTTAACCAACTGAAGAAAATGCTGAGTTTCAATTCAGAGTTAGTGAAATTAAAGATTTTTTTTTCTATCTGCATTCATGGATGCTCTGAAACCTATCTATGGGATCTTTGGACCCAGGTTAAGACACTTCTTGTTTTAGTCACATACAATATCTTTGGCCATTTTGGTATATGAGAAAACATCTTATCTCTAAATTTCCTATAAACGTATTCTCCAGGGAAATTTTGTTGCATTTGTTAAAACTTTAGCAGTCATTACTGGAAATTAGTGATGGTATATAATGTTTAAGGCCATGGAAAACATTAATGATTTATAAAAATTCTATACATTCTGTGTTCGTAGTACTGTATAGCTGGAATTTTTTGAGGAAAAAATGTTTCATTGTTCTTGTTTACAGGTGCCTACTAAACCAGAGTATTAAAATATTTTCTTCTGTATTAACAGTTTTGTTGTAATAAAAATCAAATAACTTTAATTTGGTGAGGAATCAAAACAATAAAACAAAGGAGAAATAAGGACTTCAAATTTGCCTAAGGTAGATGCTTAGGTTTGTGCCGCAATGACTTCCTTTCTTTTTTTCCCTTGTGTGGTTTTACTTGAGCATGGTTGCCGTGTTAGCTAGCTGCATGTTGTTTGTGTTTGTGTTATAAATTGATATTTCATTCGTATCAGTACCTGACAATTTGTCTGTAACTAAGTATATATTTTATAGATTACTGGAATCCATGTGAAAGTATTATACAAGATTGTTTACTGGATAAACATTACACTTAACCATTGTAAATATAGGACATTAGTTAGTAACCTACATACAAGAACCAGTTTTTTTTTGCATCAGTTAATGATTTTAATGTATATAATATGCTTATAATAGTCTATGGACTTACTTAAGAATTTTTTTCAATGATTTTGTTATAGAAAATGACTTGAATTAAAAATCATCAGAATAGAATGATACTGCATTATCTTATAGAAAATACATTAATGAATTATCTTCCTTTGCCCAAATTAAATTTTTAAAAAGAAAATTCTATTGATGGTTCTGATTTAGAAGTAACCATATAAAAAAGATTGTAATTTTTGAATCTAATTTACATTCATTTCTAATATGTCACTTTTCAGTATTTCAAAAGAATTATCAACTGTGTTTAAGGAAAGATATTTAACCAGTAGAAAATTATTAGTTTTTCATATCATTATAATTCCTTTTATTTTGTGTCAGATTCTTTTGGATTTTCAGTATTCATGAATGGACTGGATTTCTACTCATCTTTTTATTTCAGCTTTGCCTTATTTTGTGTTTAGATATTAGAAAGATATAACTTACTGTCACTAAGAAATAATATTTTAAAATAAATACACTTTAAAAATACTATTTTTGGTTCAGAATGGGACTCATGGATCTACTATATACCATCCTGATTTTTTGTAAGATTTTATAATTTTACTCAGTATTGCTGAGTTTGAAATTAAATGCTGTGGTGTTAAATATGAAAATATTTGAAATATGGCTAATAGTACTATCCTATGGGAGACAAAATACTGACCTGTCTGTATGAGAATTTTTTTCCCCTAAACACAGCAAGGTTGTAACTCCTTGAAAAATGACTTTTGTTAAAATGAGTTTTAACTCTTCATTCCCTAAAAAGCTTCCCCTTCTGCCCCGAGTTGGAAGTTATGGAAGTAGATTTCTCAAACATCCTATGTTCCTCAGATTCTGTTATAACAGTATTCGTTTTCTAAATTTTATTCAGAATTCAGTTATAGGCTTGAAATTTCTCAGGGAAATATTACTAAATTGCTTAGAACTTTGCTTCTCAATGCCTTTGCAAACCTGGATGTTTATTCTTCTCATCTGTAAAACAAAACAAAATAGGGCAAAATTAAAAACTCTTCACAGATCTGAAGTTTGTATTTTCATTAAAGGCATCATTACTTTTTTTTTTGCAGCTTAATATATCACTTTTTGTGTTTTACATTTTTTGTTGATGCCTTTTTTCCCCACTAGAGCAATTTCTTGATATGCCTTTAACCCACAGTATTCAAGTCAACAGATAAAACAACCACATCTGAAATATGCAAAATTTTGCATACTTAGTCCTTAGAGACCCGTAGTCTCCACCAGGAGGAAGGAAGTATAGCTTCATTGCCTAATCTCTGGGATCAGTGTTTTAAAAATGTTTTTTTATTGGCATCTTTTGTTTTTATATCACTTTAATTCCCCATTATAGCTCTGGAACCAAGATTGCTCAGGCAATAGTACTTTTTAATAAGGGGATTTCTAGAGATGGTATTTTTAAATAATTATAAGTTATCTTAATGCATTGTTGAAATATTTTCTTATCTTGTTGTAATCTTTTTTTATGCTTCATTTCTTCTGATTAGGATTATATTAAAAACACCAAAATGTTTTGACATGAAATAGGTAGGAGTTCTAAGCTAGAAACTTCATATCTGAGCCTCAGTAACTATTGAAGTCAACAATTCTCGAGGGAGTATGGTACAGTTAAAAGAATTCTGACTAGGAGTGAGGAAACCCAAATTCTGGTTTTACTCTTCCACTCTGTGACCTTAGTGATGTTTTAAAATTTTAAAAATTTCTTTGGCTCTGTTCCTTCATCTGTAAAAATGAGGGATTTCAGGTATCCTCACTGTTCTTTTTGACTCAATGATGTCATATATTTGAGGCATAAATGAAATAAAACTGATTCTTCAGATAGTCTAGAATTGGACAAGATATTAGATATGTTTTTAATTATTACTTGAAGCCTCATTATTCAAAGATTTGCCTTTTGATTAAAAACCCTTTATCCATAGGCACAAAATTGTCCAAATACTTTTCCAGTTTCCAGTTTTCAGCCAGTGATACTATGAATGCATAGATGAGGAGTGGGGAACCTGTGGCCTTTTACTGAGTCCAAGTTTTATAGAACAAATCCTTTTATTAAGGGGATTTGTTCTATGAAGTTTGGATTCAATCAAAGGACCACACTCAAGGACCTAAAAGGCCACATGTAGCCTCGAGGCAGCAGGTTTTCCACCCCTGACATAGGTATATAAAAAGTGCTCAGAGAAAACCTTACACACAAATGAATTTTAAATACCTTGAAGTTATTTTGGAGTGGTAGTAAAAATATTGTGTAATTAGATGCTTTTCTAAATATGATGTTAGCAAAAATTATGCAAATTAACTAGAAAGTATCTATACATTAAATGCAAATGTGTGCATAAAGATGCTATCTACATTTTTTCTTATGTTCTTTAAAGAAATGCAATATGCACTAAAAACATGTATTTTTATGAAAGTTATTTCCTTGAAGTGCTAAAAGGTTTAATTATGGTAATGTACCTTGGGAAGGATAGTCTTTGTAGTATAATTTAGAAAGCATCTTTATATGTACAGTGTATATACTTTAAAACACCAAAGACAGAGCCTTTTTTTCAAAGGCTACATATGTATGTGTTTGTGTGTACACACATATATACATAAATAAATGCACATATGTATAAGCACATATACACATATGTACACAATCCACATATATGCACATGCATTTGATCTAATTATTCATAATTATATTTTTAATTAAATTGGTTATACATACATATATATGACATATATAGTGTAATGAGAATGTGAAGCCCAAAACCATTAGAGTTTTATATCTATTCACAAATAACATTATTGTTCAATATAATTTACAGGAAGACCCTGCACTCAACTGCAGCTTCTGAATCCAGAACGATTTGCACGTCTTATTAAAGAAGTAATGAATACATTTTGGCCTGGCAGAGAATTGGTAGTTCAGTGGTATCCATTTGCTGAAGACAGTGATCATCCATCTGTTGCATGGCTTAAGATGGTCTGGAAGAATCTCTATATACATTTTTCAGAGGATTTGTCTCTATTTGATGAAATGCCACTTATTCCTAAGACTACATTGGAGAAAAGTCAGACATGTGTGGAGCTCATTAGACTCAGGATTCCATCACCAATTATTTTAGATGATGAATCTGAAGCACAGCTTCCCGAATTTTTAGCAGACATTGTACAAAAGCTTGGAGGCATTGTCCTTAAAAAACTAGATTCTTCTATACAGCATCCTCTTATTAAAAAATATATACATTCCCCATTACCCAGTGCTGTTTTGCAGATAATGGAGAAGATGTCATTGCAGAAACTGTGTAATCAAGTAGCTTCACTGCTTCCAACACATAAAGATGCTCTGAGGAAATTCTTAGCTAGTTTAAATGACATAAATGAAAAGGAAAAAAGAATCATTCAGGAATTGACAATATTTAAAAGAATTAATCATTCATCTAGTCAAGGGATTTCTTCTTTTACAAAATTGAAAGGTTGTAAAGTGTTACATCATACTGCTAAACTTCCACCAGATCTGAGACTCTCCATTCCAGTAATTGATAACAGTGATGAAGCTACCATACGTTTGGCAAATATGTTGAAAGTAGAGCAGCTAAAAAGCACTGGCTGCTTAAAGTTTATTTTAAAAGATATTGAAAATGGCTTTTATTCTCATGAAGAAATAACACAGCTTATGCTATGGATTCTTGAACATCTGTCCTCTCTGAAAAATGAGAATCCACATGTAATTGATTGGGTAATGCCATTAAAGTTTATTCAGATTTCACAGGGACACATTGTTTCAGCCAGTGAACTCTTTGATTCTGATATTGGTATGCTGCAAGATTTGTTTTATGCTGAAGAAGAAATCTCCTTTCCACCTAGTATTTTTACTTCTTCAGACATTCTTCATGCTTTGAGACAGATAGGGTTAAAAAATGAAAACAGTCTCAAAGAAAAAGATATCGTACAAGTGGCAAAAAAAATTGAAGAATTACAAGTTAGTTCTAGCCCAAATCTGGATGCTCTTTTAAAGAAAGCTAAAACTCTCTTAATGGTTTTGAATAAAAATCATACATTATTACAGTCACCTGAAGCAAAAGCAACACTGAAGAAGATAAAGTGGGTTCCAACATGCAAGGAAAGGCCTCCAAATTATCCAGGATCTTTAATCTGGAAAGGAGACCTTTGTAATCTTTGTTTACCACCAGAAATGTGCGATGTAGCTCATGCCACTTTAGTTGGTTCATCAGTTCCTCTTGTTGAAAGTGTCCATGCAAATTTGGAAAAAACTCTTGGCATATTCACAAAACCTAGTATAAATGCAGTCTTAAAACACTTTAAGATTGTTGTTGATTGGCATAGTTCAAAAACTTTTAGTGATGAAGACTATTACCAGTTCCAACATATTTTGCTTGAAATTTATGGATACATGCACGATCATTTAGATGAAGGCAAGGAAGCTTTTAAAGCTTTGAAGTTTCCATGGGTCTGGACAGGTAAAAAATTTTGTCCCCTAGCGCAGGCAGTAATAAAACCAATACATGATCTTGAACTTCAGCCTTATTTGCACAGTGTGCCTAAAACTATGGCAAAATTCCACCAGCTATTTAAGGCCTGTGGTTCGATAGAAGAGTTGACATCAGATCATATTTCCATGGTCATTCAGAAGATATATCTTAAAAGTGATCAAGAACTCAGTGAAGAAGAAAGTAAACAAAATCTTCATCTTATGCTGAATATTATACGATGGTTGTATAGCAGTCAGATCCCAGCAAGCCTCAATACACCAGTACCAATTCACTATAGCAAGAATCCTTCTAAACTTATGATGAAACCGATTCATGAATGTTGTTATTGTGATATTAAAGTTGATGATCTTAATGACTTACTGGAAGATTCTGTGGAACCAATCATTTTGGTGCATGAGGACATACCCATGAAAACTGCAGAATGGTTAAAAGTTCCATGCCTTAGTACAAGACTGATCAATCCTGAAAATATGGGGTTTGAGCAATCAGGACAGAGAGAACCACTTACTGTAAGAATTAAAAACATTCTGGAAGAATATCCTTCAGTTTCAGATATTTTTAAGGAGTTACTTCAAAATGCTGATGATGCAAATGCAACAGAATGCAATTTCATGATTGATATGAGAAGAAACATGGACATAAGAGAGAATCTTTTAGACCCTGGGATGGCAGCCTGCCATGGGCCTGCTCTGTGGTCATACAACAATTCTGAATTCTCAGATTCTGACTTTATAAACATAACTAGATTAGGAGAATCTTTAAAAAGGGGAGAGGTTGATAAAGTTGGAAAATTTGGTCTTGGATTTAATTCTGTGTACCATATCACTGACATTCCCATCATTATGAGTCGAGAGTTCATGATAATGTTTGATCCAAATATAAACCATCTCAGTAAACATATTAAAGATAAATCTAACCCTGGCATCAAAATTAATTGGAGTAAACAACAAAAAAGACTTAGGAAATTTCCTAATCAATTTAAGCCATTTATAGATGTGTTTGACTGTCAGTTACCACTAACTGTAGAAGCACCTTACAGTTACAAAGGAACTCTTTTCCGACTTTCATTTAGAACACAACAAGAAGCTAAACTGAGTGAGATCAGTAGTACTTGCTATAATACAGCAGACATTTACTCCCTTGTGGATGAATTTAGCCTCTGTGGACATAGGCTCATCCTTTTCACTCAGAATGTCAATACCATGTTTTTGAAGTACTTGAAAATTGAAGAAACCAATCCTGGTTTAGCACAAGATATAATTGTCATTAAAAAAAACATTTGTTCCTCCAAAGCATTAAATGTACCTATTGTAAGTGTTTTGAAAGAAGCTGCTAAGCTCATGAAGACCTGCAGTAGCAGTAATAAAAAACCTCAGATAGATATGCCAAAGTCATCTTGCATATTACAGATCACAGTTGAAGAATTTCGGCATGTGTTCAGAAGAATTGCTGATTTGCAGTCACCACTTTTTAGGGGCCCAGATGATGATCCAGCTGCCTTATTTGAAATGGCAAAATCAGGACAAGCTAAAAGGCCATCTGAAGAACTACCACAGAAAACAGTGGATTCTACAACATGGCTAATATGTACCTGCATGGATACTGGAGAGGCTTTAAAATTTTCCCTGAATGAAAGTGGAAGAAGACTTGGGCTTGTTCCTTGTGGTGCAGTAGGAGTCTTATTTTCTGAAGCCCACGATCAAAAATGGACTGTGAAACAACACATTGGTGAAGTTTTCTGCTATTTACCTCTGAGAATAAAAACAGGGTTGCCTGTTCACATCAATGGCTGTTTTGCAGTTACTTCAAATAGGAAAGAAATATGGAAGACAGATACAAAAGGAAGGTGGAACAATATATTCATGAGACATGTTATTGTTAAAGCCTACCTAGAAGCACTTAGTGTTTTGCGAGAGTTAGCCGTAAGTGGAGAGCTAATTGATTATACTTACTATGCAGTGTGGCCTGATCCTGATTTAGTTCATGATGATTTTTCTGTGATATGCCAAGGTTTTTATGAAGATATAGCTCATGAGAAAGGCAAAGAAATGTCTAGAGTCTTCTCTGATGGATCCATGTGGGTTTCTATGAAGAATGTGAGATTTTTAGACGATTGTATACTTAAAAGATCAGATATTGGTCCTGCTGCTTTCAAGATCTTTTTAAAATACCTTAAGAAAACTGGATCAAAGAATCTCTGTGCTGTTGAGCTTCCTTCTTCAGTAAAATTAGGATTTGAAGAAGCAGGTTGTAAGCAGATACTTCTTGAGAATACATTTTCTGAAAGACAGTTTTTTTCAGAAGTATTTTTCCCAAATATACAAGAAATTGAACCAGAACTTCGGGATCCTTTAATGTATTTTGTTTTAAATGAAAAGGTTGAGGAATTCTCTGGAATTCTTCGTGTAACTCCATGTGTTCCTTGCTCTTTGGAGGGCCATCCTTTAGTCTTGCCTTCAAGGTTGATCCATCCTGAAGGACGAGTTGCAAAGTTATTTGAAATTAAAGATGGAAGATTTCCTTATGGATCCACCCAGGATTATCTTAATCCTATTATCTTGATTAAACTTGTCCAGTTAGGAATGGCAAAAGATGATATATTATGGGATGACATGCTAGAACGGGCAGAGTCAGTAGCTGAAATTAATAAAAGGGACCATGCTGCTGCTTGCCTAAGAAGTAGCATTTTATTGAATCTTATTGATGAGAAACTAAAAATTAGGGATCCTAGAGCAAAAGAATTTTCTGCAAAATATCAAACAATCCCTTTTCTCCCATTTTTAACAAAACCAGCAGGTTTCTCTCTGGAGTGGAAAGGTAGCAGTTTTAAGCCTGAAACTATGTTTGCAGCAACTGATCTTTATACAGCTGAGTACCAAGATATAGTTTGTCTTTTACAACCAATTCTCAATGAAAATTCTCATTCTTTTAAAGGTTGTGGTTCAATGTCATTGGCTGTCAAAGAGTTTTTGGGGTTGCTTAAGAAGCCAACAGTTGATTTGGTTATAAACCAGTTAAAAGAGGTTGCAAAATCACTTGATGGAATTACATTGTATCAGGAGAATATCACCAATGCTTGCTACAAATACCTTCATGAGGCAATGCTACAAAATGAAACCACAAAGACAGCAATTATTGAACAGCTTAAAACTTATAATTTCATCTTAGTTGAGAATGCTTATGTTGAACCAGAAAAAGTATCATTTCATTTAAACTTTGATGCAGCACCATATCTTTATCAGTTGCCAAATAAATACAAAAATAATTTCCGTGAACTCTTTGAAAGCATAGGTGTGAGATCTTCATTTACAGTTCAAGATTTTGCCCTTGTTTTGGAATCAGTAAATCAAGAGAGAGGGACAAAACAAATAACTGAAGCAAACTTTCAGCTTTGCAGACGAATTATTAGTGAAGGAATATGGAGTCTTATTAGAGAAAAGAATCAAGAATTTTGTGAGAAAAAGTATGGCAAAATATTGTTACCAGACACTAATCTTGCTCTTTTGCCTGCTGAATCATTATGTTATAATGATTGTCCCTGGATAAAAGTCAAGGATACCACTGTAAAATACTGTCATGCTGATATTCCTAGGGAAGTAGCTGTAAAACTTGGAGCAGTACCAAAGCGACATAAGGCCTTAGAAAGATATGCTTCCAATATCTGTTTTACAACACTTGGAACTGAATTTGGACAGAAAGAAAAACTGACCAGTAGGATTAAAAGTATCCTTAATGCTTATCCTTCAGAAAAAGAAATGTTGAAAGAACTCCTTCAAAATGCTGATGATGCTAAAGCCACAGAAATTTGTTTTGTGTTTGATCCAAGACAACATCCAGTTGATAGGATATTTGATGATAAGTGGGCACCACTACAAGGGCCAGCACTTTGTGTATATAACAATCAACCATTTACTGAAGATGATGTCAGAGGAATTCAAAACCTTGGAAAAGGTACAAAAGAAGGAAATCCTTGTAAAACTGGACAATATGGCATAGGATTCAATTCTGTATATCACATTACTGACTGTCCTTCTTTTATTTCTGGTAATGACATACTCTGTATCTTTGATCCTCATGCAAGATATGCACCAGGAGCTACATCAGTTAGCCCTGGACGCATGTTTAGGGATTTAGATTCAGATTTCAGAACACAGTTCTCAGATGTTCTAGATCTCTATTTAGGTGATCATTTTAAACTAGACAATTGCACAATGTTTAGATTTCCACTTCGTGATGGAGAAATGGCCAAAGTTTCAGAAATTTCCTCTGTTCCATCATCAGACAGAATGGTTCAGAACCTTTTGGATAAATTGCGGTCAGATGGGGCAGAACTTCTTATGTTTCTTAATCATATGGAAAAGATTTCGATTTGTGAAATAGAAAAGGCAACAGGTGCACTAAATGTACTATATTCAGTAAAAGGCAAAATAACTGATGGAGACAGACTAAAGCGGAAGCAATTTCATGCAGCTGTAATTGACAGTGTTACAAAAAAGAAGCAACTGAAAGACATACCAGTACAACAAATTACATATACTATGGATACTGAAGACTCTGAAGGTAACCTTACTACATGGCTAATTTGTAACAGATCAGGATTTTCAAGCATGGACAAAGTTTCTAAGAGTGTTATTTCAGCTCATAAAAATCAGGATATTACTCTTTTTCCACGTGGTGGAGTAGCAGCTTGTATTACTCATAATTATAAGAAACCCCATAGAGCCTTCTGCTTTTTGCCACTCTCTTTAGAAACAGGGCTACCTTTTCATGTAAATGGACACTTTGCCTTAGACTCAGCAAGAAGAAATTTGTGGCGGGATGATAATGGAGTTGGTGTTCGAAGTGACTGGAATAATAGTTTGATGACTGCTTTAATAGCACCAGCATATGTTGAACTGCTGATTCAGTTAAAAAAGCGTTATTTCCCTGGTACTGATCCCACAATGTCAATTTTACAAAATACAGCTATTCATGTTGTAAAAGACACTTTAAAAAAGTTTTTGTCATTTTTCCCAGTCAACAGACTTGACCTGCAACCAGATTTATATTGTCTGGTGAAAGCACTTTACATTTGTATTCATGAAGATCAGAAACGCTTATTACCTGTGGTAAGGGCTCCAAATATTGATGGCTCAGATTTACATTCTGCAGTTATTATCACTTGGGTTAATATGTCTGCTTCAAACAAAACAAAACCATTTTTTGACAACTTGCTTCAGGATGAATTACAACACCTTAAAAATGTAGAGTACAATATCACAACACGTAAGACTATAGCAGAAAATGTTTACAGACTAAAGCATTTACTTTTAGAAATTGGATTCAACTTGATATATAATTGTGATGAAACTGCCAATCTTTACCACTGTCTTTTAGATGCAGAAATTCCTGCAGCTATGTAACTCCTGCTGATGTTCGGTCATTTTTGATGACATTTTCTTCTCCTGATACTAATTGCCACATTGGGAAATTGCCTTGCCGCCTTCAGCAGACTAATTTGAAGCTATTTCACAGTTTAAAGCTTTTGGTAGATTATTGCTTTAAGGATGCAGAAGAAAATGAGATGGTAGTTGAAGGACTGCCACTTCTTATTACAGTTGATAGTGTTTTGCAAATTTTTGATGCAAAACGTCCCAAATTTCTTACAACATATCATGAATTGATACCTTCCCGCAAGGATTTGTTTATGAATACGTTATATTTGAGATACAGCAATATTTTATTGACTAGCAAGGTTGCAAAAGTTTTTGATATTACCAGTTTTGCTGATTTGTTATCCTCTGTGTTACCACGTGAATATAAAACTAAAAGTTGTACGAAGTGGAAAGAAAATTTTGCAAGTGAATCCTGGCTTAAAAATACGTGGAATTTTATTAGTGAATCTGTAAATGTGAAAGAAGATCAAGAAAAAATAAAACCTACTTTTGATATTGTTGTTGATACACTAAAGGATTGGGCTCTGCTTCCAGGAACTAAATTTACTGTTTCAGCCAGTCAGCTTGTTGTTCCAGAGGGGGATGTTTTACTTCCTCTAAGCCTTATGCATATAGCTGTTTTTCCAAATGCCCAGAGTGATAAAGTTTTCCATGCTTTAATGAAAGCTGGTTGCATTCAGCTTGCTTTAAACAAAATTTGTTCCAAAGACAATGTGATTGTTCCTCTACTGTCAGCTCACACAGCAAACATAGATAATCCTACAAGCATTTTGAAAGCTATACATTATATGGTTCAGACCTCAACGTTTAGAACTGAAAAATTAGCAGAACATGATTTTGAGGCTCTCTTAATGTATTTTAATTGTAATTTAAGTCACTTGATGTCTCAGGATGACATTAAAATATTAAAATCACTTCCATGCTATAAATCTATTAGTGGTCGATATATGAGCATTGCAAAATTTGGAGCATGTTATGTACTTATAAAAACCATCCCTTCAGCTGAAGTGGAAAAATGGACACTATCCTCATCATCTGCATTTCTTGAAGAAAAAATACACTTGAAGGAATTATATGAAGTTCTTGGTTGTGTCCCTGTAGATGATCTTGAAGTATATTTGAAACACTTTTACCAAAGATTGAAAATCTCTCTTATGATGCAAAATTAGAACATCTCATTTACCTGAAGAACAGATTATCTAGCATTGAAGAATCATTAGAGATAAAGGAACAGCTTTTTGAAAAGTTGGAGAGTTTGTTGATAATTCATGATGCAAGTAATCGTTTAAAATCTGCAAAACATTTTTATGACAGAACTGTGAGAGTTTTTGAAGTTATGCTTCCAGAAAAATTATTCATACCTAAGGATTTCTTTAAAAAATTGGAGCACCTCACTAAACCCAAGAACCAAGCTTCATTCTTAACATCATGGGTAGCATTCTTAAGAAATATTGGACTAAAATATATTCTTTCTCAACAGCAATTATTACAGTTTGCTAAGGAAGTAAGTATGAGAGCTAATACAGAAAACTGGTCTAAAGAAACACTGCAAAACACAGTTGATGTCCTTCTTTATCACATATTTCAAGAACGAACGGATTTATTATCTGGAAATTTTTTGAAAGAATTATCTCTAGTACCTTTCTTATGTCCTGAACGTGCTCCTGCTGAATTTATTAGATTTCATCCCCAATATCAAGAGGTAAATGGAACCCTTCCTCTTATACGGTTCAATGGAGCACAGGTGAATCCTAAATTCAAACAGTCAGATGTCTTGCAGCTGTTGTGGACCTCCTGTCCTATTCTTCCTGAGAAAGCAACACCTTTGAGTATCAAAGAACAAGAAGGTAGTACTCTTGGTCCACAGGAACAACTTGAACAAGTTTTGACTATGCTCAGTGTTAATTTAGATCCTCCTCTTGATAAAGTTATTCATAATTGCAGAAATATTTGCAACATAACAACTTTGGATGAAGAGATGGTAAAAACTAGAGCCAAGGTCTTACGGAGTATTTATGAATTTCTCAGTGCAGAAAAAAAAGAGTTCCGCTTTCAACTTCGAGGAGTTGCTTTTGTTATGGTAGAAGATGGTTGGAAGCTTCTAAAACCTGAGGAAGTTGTGATAAATCTAGAGTATGAATCTGATTTTAAACCTTACTTATATAAACTGCCTTTAGAACTTGGCACCTTTCATCAATTATTCAAGCATTTAGGTACTGAAGATGTTATTTCAACTAAACAATATGTTGAGGTGCTAAGCCGTATATTTAAGAATTCTGAAGGAAAGCAGTTAGATCCTAATGAAATGCGCACAGTTAAGAGAGTTGTTTCTGGACTGTTCAAGAGTCTTCAGAATGATTCAGTCAAGGTTAGAAATGATCTTGAGAATGTACGAGATCTTGCACTTTATCTTCCAAGTCAAGATGGTAGATTGGTAAAGTCAAGCATCTTAGTTTTTGACGATGCACCACATTATAAAAGCAGAATACAGGGACATATTGGGGTTCAAATGCTTGTTGATCTGAGCCAGTGTTACTTGGGAAAAGACCATGGTTTTCATACGAAGTTGATAATGCTTTTTCCTCAGAAACTCAGGCCTCGTCTACTGAGTAGCATTCTTGAAGAACAGTTAGATGAAGAAACACCAAAAATTTGTCAGTTTGGAGCATTATGTTCTCTTCAAGGAAGATTGCAGTTACTCTTATCTTCAGAACAGTTCATTACTGGACTCATTAGAATAATGAAACATGAAAATGACAATGCTTTCCTGGCCAATGAAGAGAAGGCCATTAGACTTTGCAAAGCCCTTCGAGAAGGATTAAAAGTTTCATGCTTTGAGAAGCTTCAAACAACATTAAGAGTTAAAGGATTTAATCCTATCCCCCATAGCAAAAGTGAAACATTTGCTTTTTTAAAACGGTATGGCAATGCAGTAATTTTACTCTATATACAACATTCAGACAGTAAAGACATAAATTTCCTGTTAGCATTAGCAATGACACTTAAATCAGCAACTGACAATTTGATTTCAGACACCTCCTATTTAATTGCCATGTTGGGCTGTAATGATATTTATAGGATCAGTGAGAAACTTGACAGTTTAGGAGTGAAATATGACTCATCAGAACCATCAAAACTTGAACTTCCGATGCCTGGCACTCCAATACCTGCTGAAATCCACTATACTCTACTTATGGATCCAATGAATGTTTTTTATCCAGGAGAATATGTTGGATATCTTGTTGATGCAGAAGGTGGGGATATCTATGGATCTTACCAACCAACCTATACATATGCTATTATTGTACAAGAAGTTGAAAAGGAAGATGCTGACAACTCTAGTTTTCTAGGAAAGATTTATCAGATTGATATTGGATACAGTGAATATAAGATAGTAAGCTCTCTTGACTTGTATAAATTTTCCAGGCCTGATGAAAGTTCTCATAGTAGAGACAGTGCACCTTCTACCCCAACCAGTCCTACTGAATTTCCAGTCCCTGGACTTCGAAGTATACCTCCCATTTTCTCTGGAAAAGAGAGCCATAAGACATCTTCAAAACATCATTCACCCAAAAAGATTAAGGTAAATTCTTTGCCAGAAATATTGAGAGAAGTGACATCAGTAGTAGAACAAGCATGGAAACTTCCAGAATCTGAAAGGAAAAAGATTATCAGACGATTATATTTGAAATGGCATCCAGACAAAAATCCAGAGAATCATGATATGGCTAATGAAGTTTTTAAGCATTTACAGAATGAAATTAGTAGATTAGAGAAACAGGCTTTTATAGATCAAAATACAGATAGAACATCAAGGAGAACATTTTCAACAGCTTCTCGATTTCAGTCAGACAAATATTCATTTCAGCGATTTTATACTTCATGGAATCAAGAAGCAACAAGTCATAAATCAGAAAGGCAGCAACAAAACAAAGAAAAGGGTCCATCTTCTGCAGGACAGTCTTATTCTCAACGGTTTTTTGTTCCACCCACTTTTAAGACTGTAGGTAATCCGGTTGAGGCACGGAGGTGGTTAAGGCAAGCTCGAGCAAATTTTTCCGCTGCCAGAAATGACCTTCATAAAAATGCTAATGAATGGGTATGCTTCAAATGCTACTTAGCCACTAAATTAGCTTTGATTGCTGCTGACTATGCAGTAAGGGGAAAGTCAGATAAAGATGTGAAGCCAACTGCACTTGCACAAAAAATAGAGGAATATAGTCAACAACTTGAAGGACTTACAAATGATGTTCATACATTGGAAGCTTATGGTGTGGATAGTTTAAAGACCAGATACCCTGATTTACTTCCTTTCCCTCAGATCCCAAATGATAGGTTCACTTCTGAAGTTGCTATGAGGGTGATGGAATGCACTGCTTGTATCATAATAAAACTTGAAAACTTTATACAACAGAAGGTATGAAGTGACTAAAGGGAACAATTTTTAGGTAGAGCTGAATATAGAACATGATGAATGCAGACAAACATTGATTTGGCCATCATACTTCCATGGGCTGAATTACCTTTTATCTAGGAGTTTTTGAAATGTAGTGCACAAAGTTGATACTAAATTTGGATGGCCATTAACATGAATTCCAACAAAAAACTCTGAGCCTAAAAGAAAATTATTTTTACAAAGTTATAGGAAAATGAGTTACATAATTGTTAAATGTATGTATGAGTGGTTAAAATGACATGTTATTGAACTGCACTTTATATAACCAAAGCTTAGCAATGTGTTAGATAAGGTCTCATATGTTTCTTGTTAGGATGAATTTTGCTTATGTTTCCAACAGGGTATAATTGTTTAAGGAATTAATGTAACACTGGACATATCACTGAGCTAAACAAATAAGAAGTTGTCTCTGGAGTGAAGATTTTTATTTGAGTGGACTTTTTTTTTGACCCATTGTTCTCTCATCAGCTGGCTCTGATTATGAATTTGTTCTCATTTTATATCCTAATAATACTCAGTATATTTAAATGGTACAGCATTTTAATTATGAATATTACTTGATTATGCATTCATAGTACTTATAAAAGTGCACCAAGTGCACTTTACACTTTAAGTTTAAAAAGTTTTTAAAATTTTCTTTTAGTTTGTTTACAAGCTTCCTATTTAAAGATTTCAGGTGGATAGCATGAAAATGCGTGGTAGTTTATTACCAGATGTTGATAATGTTTTTGAAAACTGCTTACCAAAATAACATTTTGAAGACTTGTTATGTTTGTGTACATATTCTTTTCATAAACATAATTTGTATAGTGTGGGTGTACAGGTTGCATTTTTTTTGTTTCATATGTCTAATGGTGCTGCAATATAATGTTCTATTTTTTTGTCTTTCACTATGACACTTCGTGATCTTTGGGACTTAGTTAACATTTCAGATATTGCAAATTGTAATATCCTTGATAATGCCATATAATTAATTTAGTACTTTTTTAAAAATAGGAATTATTATTTGGAAGTTTCCTCTCCCCCAGGATTTGTCCATATCTGATGTTTAATATTTATCAAGTCCAAGTGTAACATATTTATTTACTTGTTAGCACAGTGAAAGTGTAATTTTTTTTTCAGAATGTAAAGAGTTCAGTGATAATGAGTTTACACAAATGCAGTAACTGAAATTAATTATTGCAATCCAAAAGAAAAATATGCTGATATAGACTTTTATGCAATTAAAGGCTTAAAGAATGTGTTGAAACATTTTCATTATTATTGGTAACAAAAAGAATGTTTGCTTCTTGAACAATGTATTGCTTCTGAATGTGAAGCCATGTAATTATTTCTGCTGTTATATTAAGTGCCATAATTTTAATAAAGCAAACATATACATACAAAGAAAAATTAATTGTAATTTTGTTTTTTGAGGAGACCTTTTATAGCTTTGAAATCAAGCCTCACTTTTGTACATTTTGAGCTTGTAATGGATTGGAGATTTTCTTAAAATTTGAAAGTGGGTATTTTGTTTAGGTCTGGAATTTTTTAAAAATTGGGTTTGGAGGATAAGTCTAGCATAGACTTAAGTACATAGTAAATGTGTTACTAATGTTTACTGAGATATTTTGCTACTTATTTTGAGATTAATTTTTTGTTGGCCAGGTTTCTGGAGATAAGCCTCTACACACTTGATTAACTCTTCTTTAGACAGTAAACAGCTAGCACCATATATAAAGTCAAGGTAGAATAGATATAGAAAGAGTCCTGGACTTCTGATTCTAATACTGAATTGGAGAGCAAGACACTTAGCTGAAACTTGTATCTTTATTAAAATCAGGATAATAATACTTATATCTTCTTTACTGTGTTGTGAATAAGGTGTTTCGTAAACCTTAAAATACTCTATATTTCTATTAATCTTATTGGTATTAATATATATATAGAGAGAGTGTGGTTCATTGGCTAGAGAGCCAGTCTTAAAGCCAGAATGACCTAGATTCAAGTTCTGTCTTTGACACATACTGGCTGTATGAGCCTGGGCAAATTATTTTGCCTCTCAGTGCTTTAAGCAACTTTCCAAGATCATAAGTTTCAGAGAAAGTGTCAAGTTTCATTGGCAGAGTGTTTCTTCCACTCATAGCTCCCTATCATAAGATATCATAGGTTTTTAGGCTGTTACCCTATTATTGGTAGGATCTGCCAAAGTTTGTGCCCTGAGAACCCAGCTTCTTGCTGTAATTGGAGTTTTGGAGTTGAGGGAATTAAAATTCTCCACCTTTCCGGTTAATGAGCTGAGATTCTTCATTAATTAACAAATTTGTATCAAATGTTAAATATATTCACTAGGGCTTTTAAGTTTATTTTTGTTTCAGACAATGAAAAATAAAAAAGACCAGCTGGTTAAGAGAAATGTTTGAGAAAAGTAAGGAGTTCCTTTGCTGAATGGTTTTTGAAGCAGGAAAAGTCATCACTACCACCATTACCAGGATTCTTTTTCTTTACCATATATATTTTAGCAAAATGTTAGGCAAAAATAAATCCTCAGAGCAATAAGCCATGCTTGGTGTAGTAGAAAGAATCTGGTCTAGAAGTCAGGAAACCTGTGTTCTAGTCCTTATTATACCTAAAAATTTTGTTACCTTGGTTTGAGACAACTCCTCTTCACCTCTGTTTTTTGTATCTGTAAGTAACATAGCAACTGATAAAATGCTTTAAAAAGAGTTCTGCATACATTAATCTCATTTGGTTCTCCTAAGAGGATCTGTAGCAATTATTTCCTTTTTACAGACAAGATAGTGGAGACTCAGAGAGGCAAATGATTTGCCCATAGTCAGATAGCTACTAAGTTTCAGAAATGGCATTTCAACTCCAGTCTTCCTGAATCCAAGTCCAGCATTCTGTCCACCATTCACTAACACTTTTGAGATTTACAAAGTGCCCTCACTTGGTCTTTCCAGCAAGTTGTAAGTTAGAGACCATTATCGCCACTTTATAAATGAGGAAATAAGCTCATTTAATGATATCCATAATCATATAGTTAATATCAGAGGTAGGATTTCAATACCAATCTCTGTGTACTTGAAGTCAAGTAAGCATTTATTAAGCATCTTCTTTGTGACAATCACTGTTAGGCCCTGGAGACACAAAGACAAAAAATGAAAATGTCTCCTCAAATACCTTACCACCCATGGTGAGGGAGGTGCGGAAGGGTGGAGGGACGTGTACATATAGTGGACACAAATTATGCAAAGGTAATTTTTTGGGTGGTGGTGGTGGAGGGAGGCATCAGTAGCTGGATTTGATGAGGAAGGTCCTCATGTAGGAAGTGACATTTGAAAGAAGTAATTATTCTAACAAGTGGAGGTGAATAGAGAATACATTCCAGGTATGGAGATAATTTTCAAAAGGCATAGACAATAAGTGGAATATTATGTATGAAGAATAGCAAGTAGGTTAGTTTGGACAGTAGAGTGTGAAGAAGACTAATGGAGAAAGGTGGGTTGGAACTAGATTGTGAGGCTTTGAATGCCCAACAGAAGATTGCATTTCATTCTAGAGACAATGGGAAATCACTGGAACTTCTTGAACATGGTACTTCTTGGTCTTAGGAATGTCTCTTTGATATCTATATGAAACATGGATTTGAAAGGGAAGAGACTTGAGGTAAGGACACCATTTAGAAAGTTATTGTAATAATCCAGGTGATCAAGTGAAGAGGGCTTGAACTATGGTGGTAACTGTGTGAGGAAACAGAAATGGATGGATATGAGACGAGTAGAATCAACAAGACTTGGCAACTGTCTTGTTGCTGAAGATATGGGAGTGAAGGAGAGAGAAGGGTTAAGGAGGAATCTTGGGTCTTGACCATGGGTGATAAGGGTTGAGGGTACTCTTAAATATGGCAATATGGAAGAGTTACAGATTTTTTTGGAGGGAGATAATTATATTTTGGATAGGCTGTGTTTGAGATGCCTGCAGGATATCCCTTTGGAAATAGCCAATATGCAGTTGGTGATATGGACTGGAATTCAGTAGAGGGAAGGTCTAGATATATAGGTCTGGGAACATTTGTAAAGATGATAATTGAAGTCATAGGGAGTGGTGAGATCATCAAAACAAAGAGCATGGAGAGAGGAAGAAAGAGCCAGCTTTGGAGATGAGCAATGAATGATGAACCAGTAAAGGAGACTGAGGAAAGGTCAGACAGGTAGGAGAAGAATTTCTGCAAGAGGGCTGTTTCAAGAAAAGCTATAGAAAATTGAATATCTGTGAGAAGCAATTGGTCAACAGTGTTAAATGCTGCAGAGAAGTCAAGGATGAGATGAGAAAAGGTGTTTAGGTTTTCTGCCCACTACTTGTTTTTATAGGGCTTGAGAGCTAAGAATGTTTTTTACATCTTTAAATAAAGTTTTTTGACTGTTTAAAAATGTAGACACCATTCTTAGCTCATGGTCTGTATAAAATTAAGCTGTGTGGGATGGATTTGACTCTCAACCCAAAATGGATTTGCCATTCTTGTCTCTAACCTATGCTGCAAAATGAAGAGAATGACTAATACTTTGCATGATACAGAAGGAAGAAAAGAAGTCTTTGATAGACTATAATGATGAACAAATGAAATCTAGTAGAGATAAATATAAACTTTTTCACTTAGGTTTTTAAAAAATCAGCTATGTCCAAGTACAAGTTGAGGAAGGTAATTATGGTTTGTATAAATATGGGTTGGGGGACTTAGTGGTGTGAGAGCTTAGTAAGAATCAACAGGGTGATGTAACAACCAAGAAAGCAGTTAATTAGTAAAGACTTAAATGTCTATGAAGTGAATCCTGCTATGTTCCACTGTAGTCAGACTGCATCTAGAATATGTTTGGTTCTAGATACCACAGTGTCAGAAGGGTATTAAAAAGCTTAACCATGTTCGGAGGAGGGGTACTAGTATCAAGGGTCTTGATACATACAATAAGGATTTGTAGAAAGAACTAAGATTATTATGTCTGGAGAAGTGAAGACATAGAGAGGATAAGAACTCTGTCTTCAGTTGATTTAAGATTTAAAGTGTTATGTGGAAGAGGAATTATATTTATTTTGTTTGGCTCCAGAGGTTTGGACTAAGATCAGTGGGTTCCATGGGACTAAATTTCAACATGATAGCAGGATAGGTTTTTGAAGAATGAGACCTGTTGAAAAAAGAGATGAGCTGCCTCAGGAAGTAATAGTTTTCAATTACTGGAGGTCTTTAAGAAGAGCCAGATGACCACTTGTACTGTAGACTGCTTCAGGAATGGGTTTGACCAAATGACTAATGAAATAAATCCTTTCTAATATGAAAATGACAAACAGGATCATGAAAATGTGGTTTGGGAGTGTAGAGTGTGAAAGAGAGGCACAAATACCATTTGAATTCTTCTACTGTAAAGGACTGATGCTCTCTGATACTGAATTCTATTCTCCAGTATCATGTTCTCTCTCCACACTTATTCCTACTTCTTTCCCTAGCCACTAAGTTTTGAATACGGACCACCAGAACATAAGTTGATAAAGTGTGGGCAGTCTACATATGTATTTTTTTGGGGGGGCTAGGCAGTGGAGTTAAGTGACTTGCCCAGGGTCACACAGCTAGTAAGTATTATATGTCTGAGGCTGGATTTGCACTCAGGTCCTAATCCAGGGCCAGTGCTTTATCCACTGTGCCACCTAGCTGCCCAAACATTTATTTATTTATTTATTTATTTATTTTTTGGTGAGGCAATTGAGGTTAAATGACTTGCCCAGAGTCACACACTAGTTAGTGTTATGTGTCCAAGGCCAAATTTGAACTCAGGTCTCCTGGCTGCAGGGCCGGTGCTCCATCCACTGCACCACCTAGCTGCCCACAATCTACATATGTCAACTAGGAATCTATGGGTATTTTATTGGTGTTTTAGCATTAAGAGATATTAAGATTATTATATTTTAATTTATAATCTGATTTGACAAATGATCCATAGATCTTTATATCTTTATATGTTTCTGCCCAGATCTACAGTTCTAAATCACCAATTGCCTTTTGGACATCTTAAACTTGATGTCCTATAGACAGCTCTAACATCACCTGTAAACCTTTTCCCATCTCCCTTATTATGATCACAGGTACCACCATTCTCCTAGTCAACTGTGCTAGTAAATTCAGTGTCATCCTCTACTCATAATTCTTACTTTATCCAATCTGTTGCCAAATCTTGTCATTTCTACTTTCAAAACGTCTGTAGTATATTCCCCTTTTTCTCCACTCACATAGCTATCACCCTTGTTTAGGTTCTTATCACTTCCTGCCTTGTCTATGACAATAACTTTCTAATTTGTTTCCCTGCCTCAGGTCTCTTCATAAGTTTGTCTCTCCTTTCCTTTGCAGTCAAGTATATTATAC